GTAATTTCTCCAACTCTTCCTGTTTGATACTTTAATTGAAGGATTGAATTACGGGATTTATACAAAAAATGATGAGAGCTGTGACTGCATGGTATTTGATGCACTAGTGGTGCTGAACAAATATTTTTTTGAGAAACTTTATCTTGAATGTTCCTCGCTTGAATTTACTTTGGTGGAGAAACTGTTAAAGGATGGGTTTGTGAACCAGTTGTATCTCAGCTATAGAAGCCTCCTTCATGTATGAATTATATTGAAATAGTTCTTATGTGCCATCAGGTCACATCTGACGTATGGCACCCCCAATAGAATTTTCACAGTAACTGTGATAGTTAAGAAATGGTCCATGAGTTTCCAGGGCCAAACAGGGATTCATACACAGGTCTCCTGAGTTCTAGTCCATCACTTTAGCCACTACACCACACAGAAGAGTGTAGAAAGGGACAATGTGGTACCACCTTCCAAGTGTGGTAGCTCTTTGGCTAGCTGTATGTACTGCTCACACTTTAGGCTTGGAGAGCTCCAAAGAAAAGCCCATGTTCACAATACTTTCTATATGTGTGTTTTCTGTGCATTTTGGAGTCCTGGTTATGCCAAGGTACCATAACATATGGAAAGAGTAACTGCATACATCTGTGTCTATCATAAGGTCATCATGAGTCTCAGTAGAGGATCTGCGCCACCCCACAGTCTCTGTCTCAGCTTGATGACCCTGTATGCAGTTTTTCAGAAAAGGGGCTCCCTTCTGCCTTGCACATGTCACAGATTCCTAACGCACTTTAATTTTTTTACATGTAAAATGGAATAATTTGCTGAAATATTTTAGTGGGGATAGATTGGGTCCAGGCAAAGCAAAATACAAATGCAAAAGCAATGATAAGAAATTTTCACACTATATTTATAGCATAGGCTGCTAACTGTGTCTGTGATTAAGCCAAAGTGCATTCTATGCACCACTGGCTTCGACAGGAGAATTAAATGTGTACACTACTTGTCACCCATTTAAATCAATGGAATTTGAAAATGTTAATTTTACTTTGATGGAATACTCTAGACACCCTCCAACTATCTTTAAATCTCACTGATCAGTGAGACTGTTGAGCAGTGTAAATCACTCCTACTATAATAAACCTTTATTGGCATACAGCAAAAGGGGCCGCAAAATAAATACAGTAAAATACGCATACAGGGTTCATGTGCAGAAAAAAACAGCGTTAAGCCCCTCATTTTAGAGAGGGCATGTTGCGACGTCTCTGAATGATGGCGTGAACATATCGAGCAGTTGATACAGT